ATAATAATAATAATAATAATAATTAATAATAGTAATAAAAAACGACCTTGGATGGGTTCTCATCTGTCTCTAATGGAGCAGTGGGAAGGTCCATGCAGGAACGGTGGGAACAGTCACGTGATGAATAAGATGAGTTCATCCCAACAAAAGAAACAGGACTAGAAAACTCAATTTTGCGACGACCTAAAAAAGGGGGGCAGGAATAGTTTTCATATCCCTCCCCCTTGGGGCAGAGGGCTTGGGTGGGGTGGGTCTTCAGAGGTCTTCTGCTCACGGGGAAGCAGGTGGGGGACATCTTCAGAGTTTCTCTGGGGACGGGACCCAGATGTAGTGCCCGGAGTGGTCCTCAATGATCTGTTTGATTTTGCTGTAGATCTCTTCGAGAGAGTCTCCTTGTACGATGGCTGGAAGAGGAGAGAACAAGCACGGCCGTCAGTACCAGTCAGCGCTGTACCTTGCCCACTGAACAGTGAACAAAGTTGTATCAAAGGAGCTGTACCAGGCACAGGATGACACCGAGGGTTAACCCAGCGTGTCCAGGGGGATTAGGGAGAGCTGATCCCGCTGGCGCGAGGTGCCAGCCAGGCTCTCCACAATGGGCTGCTAAGCAGCTTTACACACTGTCATGCCAGCGTGCAGAGGCTGCTGGCCCCAGCACCGTGGCTACTCCGCTACACAGGGATTAGCTGGTGCGCGCTGAGCGCGTACCCCGAGGGGCCAGATTTGCTGGTCAGCCAGGCCCATCCTCCAGCGTCTGTTCCCTCACTGTAAGCTCCTGGCACAGAACTCACTACAGCGACCACCTCTCTGCCCTGACCTGCTTCTGTTGTTCAAAAGGGTTTCAGCCCAGTGGTCCTGCCCCAGGTCAGCTCTGAACTCCCCGTCCAAGCACACAATGGCACGTCAGGGTCTGGCAAAGCCGCAGCCTGCGCTGCCTCTGCACCCTCCTGGAAGAGCGCCTGGCAACTCTGGAAGTGCTGCCTGGGACGGGAGGTTCGGGGAAAGCTTTTACCCGGTTTGTTCCCATATATTTGCTCAGCTGAGATGCATTTTTGGAAGATGTTCTGCTTGAGATTTTTTCCCAGTAGCTGTTAGGTGGGCAATACAGAGTTTGGATGGATTATCAGAAACAGTTACTGCACTGGAGGGAAGACAGCAAACCAGTTTCTCTGCCTCTCCGCCTGCCTGCGATTTCCCAGAATTAATCGTGCCACAAACTTCAGTTCCTTAATGCACGAGGATGCTTGTGCCATGAGCAGCTCGTCTCTGCAGGCACAAAGGGCCAGGCAGCTCCTGACTGGCTCTTTAGCAAAGACTGCTTCGGGAGCCAGCCAAACTCCCAGTCTTTTTTTGGGAAATGTTTTTGTCATAACTCAAGACAGTCTCCACTGTTTAGGTCACTTAAATTTTTATCTTTCATCTTTAAAATGACTCTTTTCTCTTTTTGAAAATGTTCCCCTATTCCCTGTGCAGGGAGTTTTATTTCCTGCACCCTGAATCTATGCTGGGTTTCCCCTGCATGGGGATTTTTCTTTTTATTATTATTATTATTATTAAAGTTGGCAATAACTTTCCACAAACTTGGAAAGCCCTGCCTGACAACTCATCTCCTTTAGAGCTGGTTTACGCTTATCCACTGATCTCAGAGCAGACCCATTGCAGAGCCCTGCTGGCAAAGTGCCGTTCCTTTCTTGCTGTGATGAAGCTGGACACTTTCCCATGACCCTGCAGTGAGACAGTGCTGGTAGAGAGGTCACAGCTGCCAGCCAGGAAAGTAAAACAAACCAGATCCAAGCCTGCGCAGGACACTCACCTGTGAAATACTCTCCAAATTCTTGCTCGAGTTTCATGGCTTTGTCAAAGACCTTGTTGGCCTGTTCGTATGTCTGTCTCCGGTTCATCTCCCTACCATGTACAGAAAATAGAAACTTAGCTCTTTTTCTTAGCAATGAACAGAGGCAAAAATAGCCCACGGAGCCTGGGTGTCTGGGAAGCCTCTGCACAGTAGGAATGGAAGCAGCGCAGGACCCAGCTCCCAAAGGCAGGGCCCTTCCCCACACGCTCTTTGCTGCCTTGACACCTCATCTCAGCTTCCAAGAGTGCTTCCCATCGCTGCCACCACCCCCCTTTCACCATAGCACACAACTGGACTCAAATGATCCTCCAAATTTGCAAGACCCTGCAGAAGTCTCCCTGCTTTTCCAGAGCATGTCACCACCCTCCTTGACTAGGTTCCTTCATCTTTATACAACACCCAAACGAGCAACTTGACCCCTTCTGGCTTGAGAAGAACTGACTCTCCTCACAGATCACATTCTCTGCTGCTGCTCGGAAGAGTTGCAAGCTCAGCTCTTGACTCCTACCCAGCCTGCACTCCCCAGGGTCAGGAGCAGCAGGACAAGCAGAAGGTCCCCCTTGGGCACACAGGAAATGTCCTCTCTTTGCTCCCCAGGGCTGTCCTGGCCCAGCCACAACCCAGCTGAGATCCACCACTCTGGGTGGGCAGCAGCTCTCCTGGCTGGACTCGGGGCCCAGGTCAACAGGTTATATCTGACACATTTGGGAGCATTTTCAGATTTCCCACGGATAATCCTGGGGTGAAGGAAGGGCTTTAAGCCAGAGCAATCCATGGAGCCTAGATGCACCATGGTGTTAGATGTGGAAGGACACCACAGAGAGAGCAATGGGCCCAGCTCCTCTGAACAAGGGACAAGCTCAGCACCAGCAGCAACCTCTGCTGCTTTCTAAGAAGCAGAGGCAGCAAACATACAAACACCTGATACACCAGAGCTGCCCGTTCTGGAGAGGCACAGAATACGGCACTGCACTTACATGAGAGCTTCAATGGATTTTGGTTTGATGAAAATGGCAATGGGATAAAGTTGTGCTTGTTGCAACCTCTTGATAGCATTGCCAGACACGTCCAGGATGCAGTGTTTCCCCTGGAAAGGAGACGATCAGGATCAGACCTACCCACGCAGTCTCAAGCTGTGCAGAAAGCAGCTTGCTCATCCAGATGAGCTTACAAAAGAGAAGAGCCACAGAGATGAACCACCACTCCTCAGACACAAGCCAACTCCCTGTAGCCTTACGTGTCCCCCTGCTTAGGGCAGGACAGCAGCACATCAAAGGGACCAAACCCTTGGCCGAACACATGAAACAATTTACAAGCCATCGATACGCTCCAGCACTCCTGTGGAGGAGACGTCGCTGCTTCGAGGAGGGCAGCGGGCACCTTTGCCCTGCAAGCTCCCGAGCACGAGGCTGGTGCCACCAGCGCCAGGCCTTCGGGTGGAATTTGGATGAGAGAGGTGTGACGTGGAGGTAGAGTAACGCAGCCCAGAAAAGCAGCCACGTGGCTTGACAGGACCCTGGAGGGAGACTCCCACACTCTGTAATGTACTTACGGCCCTTTGTTAACATGGGGAGAGGAGCGGAACTGCTGAACGTGTCTGGGTTGGGCTGCGTGCACCCCGGTCCCAGGAACACCATCCAACACTCACCCTCTCTGCCACTGCTCGCACCGACTGAATGCTGGTCCCATAGAGGTTGTCATTGAACTGCCCGGCCTCTATGAACTTGTTGTCCTGGATGTCTTTCTCCATCTGTTCACGGGATACGACGAAGTGGTAGTCTTGTCCATCCACCTCATTCTCACGCCGAGGCCTAGTAGTGTCTGCAGGAGAGCAGGCACCATAAGCGAACCCAGAGGGATAGAGACCAAACCTCCCCGCAGGGAGAAAACCCACCCAGGTGCCCTTGGCTCCCTCCCCGCACTGTGGGCCAGACCCAACAAGGAGCAGAGCCGCCCCTCTCCCTTCCCTCCAGCAAGGGCACCAGGCGCCAGCTGGGACTTACGAGGCACGCAGGAACCAAACTTGTGTGGGAATTCGGAGATGAGGTCGTCGTTAATTCGGTCCTTGGTTGGCCCCAGGATGATCACCGGCCGCGCGTAGTGAACTGCAAACAAAAGCGACAACCTGAGGTCCCGTCTGTGCCGTGGGCAGCCAACCCTACGGCCACTTTTGGCATCAACCTGCCTTCTCCCCGCTGGCAGTGGGTGCTCCTGCTCACATGGGCACCCAAAGGCACCTCCTCCATCTGAGTTTATCTCCTTCTGGTCAGGGTCAACATCTCCTTCCCATCTGACTCAAACCATCTGTGCTGCCCCGGGGAAGGTGCTGTGCATCTCCAGGGTCACGGATCAGCAAAGCTGCTCCCTCGCTCGGGGCAGGAGCCAGCCGACCGGGACAGCTGGGTGAGGGTACCACGGAGCCAGAGGAGCAACAGGAGGCCAAGTCTGATCCAGCCTCTGGCAAGGAAAGACCAGAGGCTGGGACCGTTCAGCCTGCACAAAGGTCTGCAGGGACTGAGCACTGAGCTTGCTCCGCAGCAGGGACCCGGCCCAAGGCAGGGAGGAATGATCCCATCTTCAGCTAGGGACTCCAGCCGAGCTCAGTTTTAGCTCTGGATCTCTCCCTTGGCCTTGCAGACCGCGTCACAAGTCTCTTCCATTGATTAAAAAAAAAGGGCAACGAAGGCCAGGGAAAGCCCTGCGAGGCGGCGTACGCGCCTGGCTGCCCTGCACAGGCTGAAGACGAGAAATGCCACTTGCGCTCGCCTGGCACGGTGGTGGTGTGGCAGCGGAGCTCGCTCCGGTCGCTCTGGCTGTGCCAGGACCCAGGCACCCACGCTGGGAGCAGGCCCAGGGCAGCTCAGCACCAGGACTTACTTTCTTGCCGCGTCACTGGCTCGTACGACAGGATGGTGTCCTCTTGTCCTTCTGCAACAGAGCCAGGGAGAGGCAGGTGAGCGCTTGCAGCAGCTTTCCAGCTCCTCCACACTGCGAGGAGGAGCTGGCTCCTGCCCCACCACCCACGCAGAGCCCCAGGGACAGCCCCAGGCTGCCCCATCACGCTGCCAGCTGACGTGGTGCGTGCTGGGCCTGCAGTGACCAGCCCTTGACCCACATCAATTATTTGTGTCGCAGCTCTAGGTCAAGAAAAAAACCACTGTGGGCTCAGGGCCCAGTGGGACACAGCGTCCTCCGTGTGGGGTGGACAATGGATGTGCTGCATATTCAGAGGACCCACCAGGGATAAAGGGAGCATTTGCTGCAGCTGGACTCCCATGCTCTTGTACAGACTCAGGCTCCAGGAGCCACCTATGCTACAGACCCGGCCTCTGGCCATTGCTTCCCACAGCAGGCACCAAGGATGGGGGACCACCATGGACTGGGAAGCAACCACCCAGCTTTGGAGCAGAGCCCTGCACCCAGAATAGAGCAGGGAGGCAGGCAGGTTTCCTCCTGCCACCCAGCCCCTGTTCCCCTAGCCCCACCGCAGCACCTCAGTGTCAGCAGCAGGAAGGACCAGCCTCCGAACAGAACCACCACTGGGACAAGACAAGATGGAAGTGCCAAAACATGCACACACACACACACGTGCACAGGGCCAGGAGAGCAGGTGAGATGCACTTACTGGAACTGCTCTCGCTGTCACTGGTGTTTGATGTCACGCCCTCTGCAAAGCAACCAGAGAGACCCCCTTCAGAAGGAGTACGGGCAGAAGGTGTGGGGGCACCCTGGCTGCCACCACCCAGGGCAGGGCAGCACCGGCCTCCCCAAAAAAGGCTCTCCCCAGGGCCTGCTGGCACGAGCCTGCGTCGCACAGGCAGGGCGGCATCTCTCACCCTCTGCTAGGAAACCGGGGACGTGCAGGGAGATGCTTGGCTACACTGTGAGAAGGCAGGGACACCGTGAAAGGGGTGTTGGGCTCCCCAGCAAAGGAAATGGGAGCATGGGGAAGGTGCAGCATGCACATGGGGAGGGCAGGGGAGAGCACAGCTCCACACTGGCGTGGGGACGAGGGAGCCTACCTCTGGCACTCACAGAGACAAGACAGTGACAGGACGGGACAGAGTTTGGGGCTTCACTTGCTCAGGCTGATCCCAGTGCTGTGACTGCCCCACGGGGGCTTGCGGGCTGGTGAGAAGCTGGGCAGGGGACTCACCCAGCTGGAAGGGGTGAGGGGCTCCCACTGATGCTATTTTGCAGCTCTGGGTATGTGGTGCCCCAGAGGAAGGTGGCAACACTTTAAAATACTGTCACCTCCATCACTCAGAGGGGACCCGTTGTAGTCACGGCCACCTCCCACCCACACTGGCAGTGGCTCTGAGTCTCCAAACCAGCAGCCAGCCCAGCTGGGAGCAGGAGGAAGAGGAGGAGGTGCAGCTCACTCCAGGTGCAGTGGGCAGACCTCAGCCAGGCACACTCAGGGCATGGCCAGCAAACCCAGGCAAACGCCCCCGTCCCCTCCTGCGTGCAGCAGCGGCACCTCCTCAAGCCCAGCAGCCTTGGCCAGTAGATGCGTTTTCCCAGCAGAGGAGCAGCACCCATGGGGCTCCTCCTTCCCCGCACCCAGAGAAGCGCAGCTGCCCCAGCCAGAGCCCGGCCGTTCCCCACGTGCCACCAGGCATGCCAGCGACAGAAAGTGAAGGATGCGCAGCAAAATTCGACTTACTCAGGTTCTTTGCTCCATAATAATCGTCACTTAACCCAGGGAAGTCCTGATTTCACAGACAGCGAGAAGGGGGGGAAGAGGGGGAAGAGAAGAGAGCGCAGGGGAGGGCAGTCAGAGGGATGGGGGAGACAGAGCCAGACCAGCATTAGTGACAGGAGTGCAGAACGGCCCAGAGCTGCAACTGCAAGTGAGGTTAAATGTTTTTCGAGCTGACACCATCAGCCTGCTCTCAACATCTTGCTTTGTGTGGCTGGACACCCTCCCCACCCTTCCCAGCTCCTCCTCTCTGCCAAAAAGCCCCCAAGGGCCACCCTGGTTCTGGGGAGGGCAGGACGGCCACGGCAGCAGGCACCAAGCTGGCGCAGTCACCGCGGGGTGCAGCGCTCAGTGCTCCCTTGGAACAGCCCAGCCGCCCCGGGGGGCAGGCACAGCATGGCCAGTCCCTCTCATGTGCAGCAAAGGGACACATTTTGTTAGCTGCTCACGCTCCGCTGCTCGCATGGGCTGTGGAAATGGGGGCAGGACCTCGCCATTGCAAGCTGAGATGGGCAGCGGCAGAGCATGGGAGCGAGCTGGCTGCAGGTCCGTGACAGGGGCTGGGGAAGAGCACTGCCTGCCCCATCTCTGCGCTGGACGTCACTACACTGCAGGGCTGGCCAAGAGCAGCAGCCCAGGGAACCCCTGGCTCCAGCACAGAGCTGACTGGAGCCCAGCCACATCCAGGCACTACGAGAGATACCAGAACACAGACTTGCCCTTCACTGCAGGTCAGAGGCTGGTGCTGGCTGCTGAGCTCGCTGGAAGCTGGTGCCAGCATGGCATGGGCAGCAGAGGGATGCGGGCAGCCCCTGGAGCAGCCCAGCATCAACCTCCAGCCTCTGTGTCACACACAGGAGAGCCACTGGAAGGGAGGGGACACACTTGATACGCTGGCAGCAAGACAGAGACGCTGCTCTGCCTTGCCTGCCTCCTCTCCCTGAGGTGCGAGGACAGTGTCTCTGACTGGACCCTTCCCGGAGGAGTGGGTGCAGTTTAACATCTGGAAGGAGCTGGGGCTGGGTTCAGTGAGCAGCTCCAGTGCTGCCCATGTCAGGATTTGGGCCAACAAGCTGAATGCCTTGCCTTGTCTGGGAGCTGCAGGGTACTGCCAGGTGAGAGCTGGGGACCCCACAACGCCTGCAGCAGCTACCAAAGATGTGCCTCAGTCACGGCTGTGCAGCTCCTCCAACAGCGAGGACGCAGTTTTCCTGTGCCCCCAGGGTTTGACTCATGGGAAGGGCTCTCAGACAGGAATACGGAGCTGCAAGTCACTTCTGGGGGAGATGGGGAATGCAGCTGGGACCTGCCCAACCCCTCTGCCCTGATGGGGAGGAGAAGCTCTGCAGGAGGTGGGCAGCACCTTGCTCGGAGGGGAGCAGCCCTTGGCAGACGGAGGGAGGGAGCAGAGCCCGCAGCAGAGGGGGGAGAGCAGGGGGAGGCAGAGTAGGAGGTCAGGCAGGTGTAAAGTTGGATGAAAGGATGAAGACATTGAACATGAGAGAGAGAAAGAGAGCACCAGCCTGCAACTGCTGCTTTTGTTTCAAGCTCCAGTTTCTCCCTTGCTGCTGGCACAACTGCAGAGCATGGACCCAAACATGGGCAGACACCAGGACCCCTGGCTGTGGAAACGTGCTGCGCCTCTCACCCCAAGGCAAGGAGCCTGAGGGTCGCACGCTTGCCCTCTCTGGCCAGCTGCTACTTACGTTCCTGTCCGCTGCTCTCCTGGGCCAGGTTCTCTTTGCTCTTGTAAAATGGAAACTTTCGAGAGAGGCGGAAACTCTTTTTACGTTTCGTTTTGATCGACTGAAGAACATGGAGATGGAAGGGAGGACACAAAAAACAATGGTGTTTTAACGCATGTGGGGAAAAATTAAAATGAAGAGACAATGAGGAGCTGTCAGGGCAGTTACCCTCAAATGAAACCATGGAGATTACATGAAAACTGTAATGCAGGAAAAAAATTAAGCGTGGAAAAAAATAACATGTGGTAGAGATGCTGGGAAGCTGAGGGGGCAATAAGCAGCTCTGCAGGGGTAGCCAGGCCATTCTCCCTTGTCTGCTTGCTAAGCGCTCTGCACGAGGGGCGAGGGCAGCTGCCTTCGCCTGCACAAGCTGCCTGCAGTCAGCTTGGGGCACCGTGGGCCGTGGTGGGACAGGCTCTGCTCCCCCACCACTCCAAGGGTCAGCACTTTCACACCATCCTAGGCTCCTCTGCTCACCCCCTGCACAGCCACAGATGATTCGTGCCAAGCGGATGCGGGCCTGGGGCAGGTCCAGCTGTGCTGCTCTTTGCTTTGGGGTAATTTCAGCTGCTTCACCGGCAGCTCCGCCTGCTGGGACTCATCCTGCCTCTGCTAGCTACCAGCTCCTGGCACCCCACTGAGCCCCAGCTCAGCACTTACCCTGTTGGCCTCAATCATGCCAGTCCTGGCGTGGAACTTCACTGTTTTCAACCGTGCTCTCTCTTTCTTTTCCACCCTGTTCGGAAGTTGAAGGGGACAAAGAGCCGTCAATCCCATGCATGTGCTCCCCATGTTGCCCACTTGGCTCCCCAGGCAGCTCTGTGCACCCTTCGGCAGTGGCTCCACTGGTGAAGGTCAGCTCCTTCCCAGATGGGGATGGAGGTGGAGCTGCCTGTCTGGGGTCTGGCCAAGGCCAGTGTCTGCAGGAGCAGGAGAGAAGACACGCAGGGGAGGGATGGAGGACGGAGATGAGCCTGGCTTTGCAGACCTGAAGGCAGTGGCAGCCAGCTCCTCTGCTCCCTGGAACTTCCCATCACAGAATATAAGGAGTTGGAAGGGACCTGAGACACACAGGGGAAGGATGGAGGACAGAGATGAGTCTGGCTTTGCAGACCTGAAGGCAGTGGCAGTCAGCTCCTCTGCTCCCTGGAACTTCCCGTCACAGAATCACAGAATGTCAGGAGTTGGAAGGGACCTCGAAAGCTCATCCAGTCCAACCCCTGCCAGAGCAGGATCACCAGACCAGGTC